TTTTATTTTTTCTTTCTAGTTGTGGGTTTTCAAATAGTGACAAAAAAGTTAGAAATATAAACATTATTTACAAATGAACAGTTCTGGATTTAGAAATTTCTAGAAACAAAATGGAAAACATAATCTCATAGAAAAACTATTTAAAAGACATACAAGAGAATAACAATCAATATATTTTAATGCACAAAATTGCTAAAAAAAAAAAAACTGAAACCGAGAAAATAGCAATAAAACTCGTAACTCAATGAGAACAAGAAAACAAAGAGACAACAAACGAAAGCTACTTGAGCGGTCATAGGACGCTGATTAAAACAGTTAGAAGTATTTCATCTTGTAGCTCTACACTAGGGTCATCGAACTGGGAAACTTACAAACCAAATGAGACAGACGCTGTCCTCCACACCAATGAGACGAGGCTGAATAAGCAATCCCCAAAAAAAAACAGCCTAAGACTAGACTGCGCTAGTCAATAGAACTTTAAGCATTCTTAACTCTACCAAGACCTATCTTTGAAGTCGAGTAAAGAAGTAAGCAATATCAAACTCCACAACCTTATTAGTCCTTCTAATTGTCAAGTCAGCGCCAAACAACCAAAACCTGAAGATGACAAATACAAGCCTCACTAAGGACTCTAAGTCGAGAGAGTAGCCTTACTCTCCTAACCAACGAAATCAAAAGACAAACAAAACCAGGGCCATACAAAAGGACTAAACCAAAACATAAGAATAAATCGTAGAGAACGACGTGATTCGCACCCATCCAAAAGCGCAATTCACTAGTAAAAGCCTAAACATGACCAACGAGTCCTCACTGTCGAATTGAGACACAGAAAAGCCTATTAATCCTACCACCTAAACTCGGAGAACCATGACTCATCATAGGCCTACTTTATCAAAGGCGAGGTCATATCCGCATAGGCCTGAACCAATCCAGCGAAATCAGATTTCATGAATTGCCTCGAGTGCGATCAAAGCAGCGGAGAGAGGAGAGGGTGGCGGCAGCAAGATTTAGCTAGATTGATGCGTGTAGCAGGAAGCGAATGGAGTGAACGAAATAGAGATCGTAACAGGATAGCTTTGACACCAAGTTAATGTGTGTTTTAGGCTGCAAAGGTTCCTGAAAACCATCCGAACAGAACTGAAGTAACCAGATAACAGGAAGATACGAGATCACCACAACTCGTAAAGACGAAGCACCAGAGCTGATAAAGAAACCTGCTGAGCTAGCACCACTCCTAGATAAAGTTGCCACCACCAGAAGATAAAGACGCTCGAAACCACCACCAATGACTCTCTTAAAATCAAAGGATAAAGGTAAAAGATATAAACAGATCAAAGGGGTCACAAAGACAGTCCAAATTCTCAAACTCGTTTTCTCCTTTTTTATTCATCAATAAGAACCTCATTATATAGAGGAAATACAATAAAAACGTTCAAAATTAAAGCTCTACATGCACAACACCTAGAAAAGATAATTCAAACTTTTATTATGCATGTAAGAGAGAGAAACAACATGATTTTAATGCAGTCTTGACCCTAGACGAAATGAGCTCTTTTTGTGCTTATTTGGGCTTGAAATTACTTCAATAATCTTGTTTTCATCAAATCCAGCCCAAAAAAATGCTGACCACGTTTTAGTTAATAGGCTGGGCTAAAATCAACAAAATAACAACCAGCCGGTTTTTCTTCTCAACTCCTTGTGTTGCTTCCTTGTCTTGCACGTCTGCTCCCGCATCA